GTGTGTTTGAAACATGGTCTTAATAGGTAGTATAGGATGTTCTTGAACTTACTAGATATCTGAGGCTGGCCTCAAATTCTGCAGCCCTCCTGCCTCAGCCTTCTGGGCCACCATGCCTGACTTAAAAATAGTTTTTCTAGAGCAGCTTAACTTGGAACACAGCAAGTGAGTCTATTGCATTACAGTTTTTTGCTTTATGATTTAATTTTCTTCAAGGTCTTAGATTTTATAAATAAAATCAGAGAATTTCTTCATAATATTAAAACTATAAAAATCTTCATCTGGTTCTTAACTCAGGAGAATTTTATAATTTGAAAATTCATATTTTTCTTAGGCTCAGAAATTTTACCATATTTTCTCTTTATTAGTTCTTCTTTCCACTCTTCTTTTTCTTTCCTTTTGTAATTTTGATTAGGGAGATACTGAATTTGCAAAGCTCATCTCCATGACTTTCGACTGTCTTCATGAGCTTTCCATCTAGCTCTCTTTTGCTCTGGATTTTTGGGAAATTTCTGTGGCTTCTATTTCTATTAAATCCACTCCAGCTTGTTTTCCTTATCAGCTAATGAATCTTTGTTTGCTTTTAAATTTTATTTACTTATTTTATTTTTATTGGTTTTATTTATTTTTAAGTCTTTATTATTATATGTGTAGGAAGGTTTTGCCTGCGTGTATGTAGGTGTACCACAGCATGCAATACCTGCTGAGGTTAGAAGAGGGCGTTGGATCCCCTGGAACTGGAGTTCAGACAGTTGTTAGCTGCCATGTGAGTGTTGGGAACTTAACCCAGGTCCTCTACAAGAGCAGTCAGTTCTCTTAACCACTGAGCCATCTCTCCAGCCCTGATTTTACTTTATGTTTTTGCTTTTAATTTTCAAAATATTTTTTCTTTTTGATTTTATGTATATGTATGTGTCTGTGTATGGGTCTGTGCATACTTGAGTGCAAGTGCCCACAGAGTCCAGAAGAGGGTATCAGATCCCCTGGAGTTACAGGCAGTTTTGAGCCAACCGACATGGGTGCTGGGAACCAAATTCAGGTTCTTTGCAAAAGAAATACATGCTCTTAATGGCTGAGCCATCATTCCAGCCCCACTTTTTAATTTTTAAAATTATAATTTATTTTGTGGGAGGGGTACCTCAATACATGTGTAGAGGTTAGAGGACAGCTAATGGACGTTGGGTCTCTTTCCATCATGTGGGTCCCAGGGATGGAATTTAGGTCATCAGGCTTGGTGGCAGGTGGTTTTACCTGCTGAACCATCTTGATGATCCCACAAATTACTTTTTAAATATCTAAGACGTCTTTCTCACTGTCAGAGATCAAATATTCTTTCAAATCTTGATGAATAAAATAAAATTAATTTCATATTTATCTTTGGCTTCCTTTATTAAGTCTTCTCTGATGCTATGTCTTCTGCTAGTTGTTTGGTGCTTTTCATCCATGTGTTTGTCTCCCCATATCCTGACAAAGTGTTTGGGGATTTTGATGGCCTGATCATCTCTATGTATGAATGGGTATTGCCTACTCATTCAGTTTACCATAACTGTCTTCATGGGTAGAGACATCCTATCCTGAGACACTGATGATTCCCTTTCAGTTCTGGGGCCAGAGATGCCAGGTTCTGCCCATTAGGTCCCTACTTGGAAAGGAGGCTCCTTAATGAATTGTTCAGTCCCAGAGTTTCCTCTTTCGTGCCCTTTGACTCTAGTCTAGACCTTTCTTGAACTGTTCCTTCTCCTGAGCCTGTTTGTTTGACTTCTGATTTTCTCTGGGAATCAGCTCTTTACCTTTTTTATGTATTTCAAGATTTCCTAAACATTCTTGGACCATTTTTACCCTTTCAAAAAATATATTTCATTATTTTTATTTTATGTATGAGTGTATTGCCTGCATGTATATATCCTCCTGTGTCATGCAATGCCTGTGGAGGTCAGAAGAGGGCATCAGATCCCCTGGAACTGGAGTTAGGATGGCTCTTAGCTGCCATGTGGGTGCTAGGAACCAAATCTGGGTCCTCTACAAGAGCAGACAGTGCTCTTGATTGCTGAACCACCTCTGTAGCTCCTATTTTTACCCTTTTAAAAAGTGTCCCTGTGCTTTTAGATTCCTATATTGTATCTTTTTTTAAAAGTGAAATTTAGGGTAGAAGAAAAGCTAAATGTGTATGTTCGACCCACAGTCTCTATCCAACCTTACCTATTCTCCTTATTGTCTCTGCTTCCTATCAAATAATACAATCTCATTGTGAAAATTTCAGAGAGTGGCTGAGCATGATAGCACCTGCCTGTAATCCCAGCGCTCAGTAAGCTGAGGCAGGAGGATTGCAAGGGCAGCCTAGGCTATATAGTAAGTTTGAGGCCAGCCTAGACCATACTGACTCAACGAGAGAGAGAAAGAGAGACAGATGGAGGGTATATAGCAGAAATCTCATGTTAGATGCCTCTAGTGTCCGAATTTCCATCCCATTGCCTTCACCTACTGATTTCAGCTAGAGCTAGGCAGACAGCTCCCTGAGGCCTTCCTCCCACTCCCTGGCTGACAGCATCTACCATAGTCTTAAATGCATGTCTTCCCTTCTGGTCCCAGAACTCTTCCAAAGCTGCAGATTAACTAGGGAAGCTTCCTGAGAAGCTTGGAAGTACAAAGTGTCAACATGGACAGGGACACCGGCAGGGACAGTCCCTTGATCATTGAAGATGAAGGCACTTTAGAATCTTCTGAATTCTCTGAAGACTTGACTGCCGGCAGTTCTCAACAATGACCTGGTTATTGGAGTCTTGTATCAGCATTCCCTTCTAACCTTTTTTACTCTCCCGGATTTCTCATTCCTGTTCTCTGTCCCTTATTGGACAAAGCCCTTTCCCTCTGGGCTTCTGAACTTCCTCCGTCTCTCAATTCTGATTTATCATTTCACTGTAACCCTATTAGCTGTAAAGCATTTGGGGATGCTGTCAGGATAACAGGATCTGCAGCAAATGAAGTTGTATTGAATTATTTAGCTATCAGCTAAAGCGGAGATAAGTAAAGCAGCTGAGCTAGTTTGTAAAATCTTGGGGTAATCTGTCTCTTGCTTTGGAGCTTTTATCATATTAATTTTTTTCTTGTTAGTTGAAAATTATAAATTTTAAGGCTTCAAAGAAAAATATGTGTGCAACTGTTCAATGCTACAAACCTATAGCTAAGGAATTATCTGTTTCCTGTAATATATAATTATGTAGCTGCAGCATGCCAATTCTGGAGAATCATGAATTTATTTAATGTTTATTCACACAAGGGTTTTCAAACTATAAATACGTAATTTCCTCCTTTTTTTCTTTCAAAACGAGATCAAGGATTTCTACTTGTGATATGTAACAGTCCTAGCTTTTGAAGTTGGCCTGTTTTTCTTGCCAGAATTTGATTTAAAAAAAAAAAAAAAACATGTTTCTGACTCAGTAATAAGCAAAACAAATGATTTGTGTGTGGTGAGGGATGCTGGGCCTTGGAGTGTTATGCTTGCCCTCTTCTGAAAAGTTGCATCCCCAGTCCCTACAAATGGATTCTTAGATGTCATTAGCGAAGGGTTGGGGAGGGACTCTGCTAACCCCTTGGATGGCCATGGTTATTGTCGTGTCATCTTTCTAGTGTCTCTTGGGAAATTGGCCCATAACAAGGACTCACAAGAAGCATTTTGTGGCTTTGTAATACCTGTGGAGTTTGGCCCACTCAGCATTTCTTACTGTCCAAATACCCACTCTCAACTAATGTGACTGCAGGAGCCAGTGAAATGTCTTTTGTGTACATTCAATACATAAACTAAGCTTGAACATCTGGCAATTAAACACCCTTTTCCTGATGAATCCTGGAAAACAGCATAATTATACACTCAAGCAAATAACTCAAGATTAAGGCTGTTTCCCTGTTAAGAATCCCAGGTAACATTAGTCAAAGTTAAAACTCTCTTCTGCATCTATGCTCTTTGTAATGCCTGCTGCTACCTCCATTACACCTGAGAATACCTGGGCTGATGGCCGGCGGGAGAGCATCTCAGACCCAGCAGGTGTAGGAAAAAAAAAGGCAGCACGGCTTGCAGCAAACCTTATAGAGCAATGACCTTGTATTGTTAAAAAGTCAAGGAAACAGACTGCCTTGCAAGCCGCCCATGTTCCTCTGTGTCATTCTCCGAAGTCGACGTGGAGGTGCCTAATCGCTCCTCCTTGGCACTCTTTTTCTAGTGCCTCCCCTGGCCTACTGTACCCCACCCCAGCGAAGCTTACAGGAGGAAAGCCGGGTCTCACCAGGAGACCCTGGCCCACAGGAAGGTGCAGGTGGGCGGGTGTGCAGGTTTGCCTGTTGATTTCGGTCCCCGCACTGTGCCGGAGTCCTGCGACTGCGACTGCGGGCTGCGGGCAGCCCAGCATCGCCGGTTCTCCAGGACTACACTGGGGTAGCAGGCAGGCTGGGGGCGGGAGCCTCGGGCCCAGTGCCCACCCCCTGCACTCCCAGCGTCTGCTCTTCCCACCGGCAGGAGCACCGACCCAGGAGCACGCTTTCTAATATAACCAGCCCCCGGGAACAATCTGTCCCTTCCACCCGGTCTCAGAAGGGGCGCAGCAGCCTGGGTGCCCTCCTCGCCCACTCTACGGCCTAAACGTGTCTTTTACAGTGTTTAAAAAACCCGATTGTAGGCCGAGGGGACGCAGGGCGGGAAAGGCAGGAAGGGCGCATTTCGCCGCCCGGCTTGGCGCTTTGGGCTCAGGACTTAGGCCTGAGCTGCAGGTGGAGCCCATTTCCCGCGGCCAGACACTCGGGGTGGCGCGGGATCTGGGGTGGGAGGGCTGATGGGGGTACCCGGGGTCCGGCGGCGGAGGCTGGGCAGGTGCCCGGGAGCACGCAGGCTGATTGGCAGGTGCGGGAGTGGGTGGGGAAGGCGGGCCTGGAGGGGGCCGCCCCCCCCCCCCCCCCCCCCCCGCCGCGGGACTATCTGGTCCCGGCAGCAGCGATGTCCCCCGGCAGGAATGTCCCTCCTCAGATAATGTTATTTATATCTCTGGGCGGGTCCGCGGCTCGGCAGCACCAGGCGCCCGGCGGTCGCTGTGCCAGGAGCCCCGCGCTGCCCTCCTCCCCCTGCGCCGCCGCCCCCGGGCTCGCGGTGGCCGCCGCTTCTGCCCCAGCGCAGGTGAGTCCCGGGAGGACTGGCGGCGGGAGGGAGCCGGGGCCGGCGCGCGCAGCCGGAGCACGGGCAGAGATGGCCCGGGGGGCTGGTGCAGGGGGAATCGGGGACGGGGTGGGGGAGCTGGTCCCCGGGGGCCGACACCAGCGGGAGGGTGCGGAGCCCTGGAGGCCCTGGCGGCTGCGGCAGGCGTCACTCTGGGACCCACGCGGGCTTCTGGGGCGCTGGGCTAGCCTGGCGCCGGCTTAGGACAGCGGGGTCTTGAGTGTTAGCCCGGGCTCTGGGAGCCGGGTTGGGATGTGTGTGCTCCTCGCTTCCCCCAGGACCCTCGCCTGGGAGTAGAGGGGATCCTGCGTGTCGCCTGTCCGACTCCCCGCGCTGCTCCCTGAGCCTCTCTCTGCTGGACTTCTCAACCCTGGGGCGGGTCAAATCCTCTTCTGGAACTTGGCTTCTGCTCTCGCTGGCCGCCCCGTACCCTGACAGGGAGGACAGTTCAGGGCAGTGGAGGGGGGCCGGGCCTCTGGATGCTGTGCAGAACGTGCAGAGTGGCCCAGTGTAGACGGAGAGAGGAAAGAACAAAGTGCCCCAAAACTATACTTCAAGGACCCCTCCCCACACACCCTTCTCTCAGAGCTCCTAGTCCCGAAGCACCGACTGTCCACCCTAATCCTTTGTTCCGGTTCCAACAATTTGACCCCAAGATATAACAGAAAGTGGAAGCCCTAAGAGCTTTAACACAATCATCAAGACCCACCAAATTTACCGAGACTTCCCAAGGGGGAGATAGCTTCGGGTACTTGAGTACAGTTTCCGTGACAACGAGCCTTAGGTAGGGCCCCGACTTGTAGCCTATTAATATCCAAACCACTGTTTTCAGTGAGCAATTAGAGGTGACAGGAGTTAATAACACCCTTAACTCGCTGAAGGAAAATGCAGAGAAACCACTGCTTGAGATGCATCCGGCGGGGTAGGGTGGGAGAATGTAGTGACAGCCTGCTTTACTGAGAACTTCAGTGTGGAGAGGATAGGCTGTCACCTCAAGGTAGGAGGCAGCCATGCAAATCCACGCCTGTAGCAGTCATGATGTATATAGTTCCATTTCCAAGGAAGGTGATTTAGAGAGCTCCTGAATGAGAGGCATCTACAGAGCAAACATTTCAGGCACATTTAGACTGCCTACCCTTAGCTTCACAGATGTTCAGAATTTTACTCTCAATTCCCTCTTTAAGTGTCACCCCCCTCCCCCCACAGCCAACCAACAGGGAGTCATTTCCTATCCCAAGACCAGACTTTTACGTTTTTACAATGAGCCCTGGGTTCTAGAATGTTATGGGAGATTCTTAGTGCTGTTCACTGAATGTCCAGCACCCCAAAGGTCTTGGGGATAGCTAACAACAGGAATATTAAACTTACAGTAGAGAAGAGCCCACCAGCCTTGAAATGAACTGACTCCAAAGGTGGACCATTTATACAAATCTTTATCAAATTCTATGCTACAGTAAAGCTCAGTTGAGAAAGGACAGACCCTTTAGCTGTTGTTCCTAGCTTTATCAGTGGCTCAGAGGTATGGGTTGGGGATGAGCCAGTTCTGTTAATCTGGAGTTCTCAGAAGACACAGAGTCCACTCATGGAATTGAAAGCACCCGAAAACTCCCAAGCATCCAGGCTGGGCCTTGTAGCACAGGCATATCAAGTTTTCCTGAGTGACTTGCCCAGCAGAGAGCTGGGACACTACCTTTTTCTCTGGTCATTGCTTCTTCTAAGCGTTCTGAAGGTATCCTGCCATGGAACACCTGTTGGATTGTTAGCTTGGGGATAAAGCCATGATGGGAGGCAGGCTCCCACCTGGAATTGTGTTTGGCAAAATAAACACAACTATTTTAGGCAAACGAAGTGTGAGTGACAGTTTTGAATTTGAGTCAGTCACCGTTCTGGAAAACAGCAGGTTTTTGATAAATAAAAATAATAATAACTTTTAGACTATCTTGTATGTACCGTTGCTTGGCTTGATTCTCAGTTAATCTTTGTTGAATGAATGAGAGAATGAATGAATGATCACAGATTTCTTTATGTTGTCTTCATTGTCAACTCTGCGAGATAGCTCAGATTATCAGCATTTTAAAAGTCAAGAAACAGGGCTGGTGAGATGGCTCAGGGGTAAAGGTGCTTGCTGTGCAAACCTGGTGGTGGACTTCACGAAGTTATCTTCTGACCTCCACAAACTCGAGTGGGTACACACACACACACACACACACACACACACACAAATGTCTATTATGAAGGTACTTAGGAACCTCTTGGGTTTTTGTTTTGGTGTTTTTTGAGACAGGGTCTCCCTGTAGCCCCAGCTGTCTTGGAACTCACTATGTAGACCAGACTGGCCTTGAACTCACAGAGATCCGCCTGCCTCTGCCTCTCAAGTGCTGGGATTAGTGGCATGTGTTACCACACTCCGCCACAAACGATCATTTTTTAAGTGAGGAAATGGATTCAGAGAATCAGATAACTGGCTCACATGACACGGCTGATGAGAGATGAGTCCAGGATTCAAGCTCAGCTGCTTACTTCCACTGTATTTTTAAGATTAGTAGATACTCAGTAGGGGATGTAGAAGAATCAGTTGGGAAAATTTGCCTGAGGCATTGATTCCTGAAGCTTCAGACTCTTCGCTCTCTTGGATCTCAAATCATAATTCTGCTTATATCAGAGAAGCTTAATATTACCTAAAGGTAGTATTGGGCATTTATTTATTCAAAAGTTTTTAGCCTGGCCTATTATTTTTGTGTCATTGTTTCAAGGACAGAATTATAATTTGGCAGTAGTCAAAGCATGGATTTTTTTTTTTTTAACCAGATTTTTCCTTTTAGTCCTGGAAGTGGCCAGAAGGGCTTGATGATGCATAGGGACAGTGTGGTAGGACAGAGGATGACTATAAAAAATTCATGAGGCAAACAGGATTGGCATTGGAAGGGACCTTGGAGGTCACTGAGCCCAGCCTTTTGTCTGTATGATCCCTTGCTTAAAGGTGAGACAGCTGCAGTTACCTGATCATCTATGTGGCTTCCTTCCTTCTTTTAAAAAAAATTTTATTATTTTTATTTTTTGTGTATGAGTGTCTTTCCTGCATGTGTGTAAGTGAACTCGTGCCGTGCAATGTCCAGGAGGTCAGAAGAGGGTGCCAGATTCCCTAGAACTGGAATTATGGGTGGTTGTTAGCCACCATCTGGGTGCTGGGACTCAAACCTGGGTCCTCTGCAAGAGTAGCTAGTGCTCTTAACCGCTGTGCCATCACTCCAGCCTGCTTCCTTACTTCTTAACATTCTAACACATTTCTTTCCTGTATCTCTTTCTCTCCCAAGGCCAATAATGCTTGTTTCCTGAAATTCAGCCTATTAAAACCACTGAGGTTTTAAGACAGAGCATATTTGCAAAGAGGTATTTTATCTTTAGAGTAGTTTGTATTGACTTATTTTAGTCTTTATGGACAGATTTGTTGTTGCTGCTGTTGTTGTATTGTAGAGAAGAAATCTGGGAAGAAAAGTACATGTGCTGGTCTGTACACTAGAACCATTACACTGTCTTTACTGGGGTTATCATACATGTTTCTTTCTTCTGACAACCCCAGGAGGTAAAGGTCTGCTGGCTTGAAAGGTGGAGATGGAGATCAACAGGGAGTATGGGAGGCAGTCAGGAGAATTCCCTGTCAGATCTGGTTCCTCTCACTGAATAGTCAACTCCTATTGGTAAATATTTAGAAAATGTCAGAGACTGCTTCCTTTTGTTGCTGTGCTTATTTCTTAATTCACAGCCAAGCAATCTGAGGGCTTCCATTTTCAACCAGACTTAGCTGAGCATCAAATCATTAGGGGATCATTAGCCTTGCAGCTCACAGAGTTGAAAGGCTGAAGTGCAGACATGGACAGAATGCTTCCTTGGTGAATTGTTTGGCTAGCTTATGACATACCATGTCCACCCCTCACTTTGCTCTTTCCTTCTGGTGCAGGAAATACTACAAAGCTGTCTCCTTCCTACCTCTCAGCAAGGTCTTCTCACACTTTGCTATAATGTTTTATTTCTGTTATATCTGTGCAGACCTGGCTGAGGGTATAATTAAAGGGCAATTAAAACCCAGACATATATCATGCTAGCAATGGGGGCAAAAGCAGGCCTCCTTTCTTTCATTTGAATGCTATAAATTTAGCAAATGAATAGGCACAGGACTAGAAAAAAAGTCTTTGCATTGAACTGGGCAGGGATCCTGCAGGATATTTATGAAAAGAGAAACAGGGCACCTTGACAGTCAAAGAACAATAATTGCTTTGAATTATAGTCAGTTCAGAAGTTTCTATTAGTGTGGAAAGAGCAGAAACTTGTATAATCTTAAAAAATGAATAAGTTGAAAATCATTTCTGTTTGTACCAGACTTAAATATGGGCGTATCTCGTGAGAATTCATAGCACTTCCAATACAAATGAGCTACATCTGAAGACTTAAGTTATAAGCATCGTAAAAGGGTCTGGAACTTCATTCTGCCCCTGTACTCAGTTCTTGTCTGTTTCTAGAAGACCCTTAGGAGTGGTGAATCAGCGTTACCTTTCGACCTTACCTTCCTTGGGAGTACAAAGGTAAGAAGAAGCCTTTCATAACACTGGCTCTGAGCCATAAATCATAGAGACTTGGCTGGAAAGGCCTGAGAAAGCGATTGAGATGTAGTAAAAAAGAGCAAACATAAGGTATCTACCACACACGCCTCACACTGGTATGTGCTCAGGACATAAAAAGGGGTCAGATGGAGGCCCACTGACTACTGGGGAGGTAGACCTTCAAATAAGCAGTGACTGGATAGCATGCTTGAAAGAAATGGTGTTCTCAGAGAAAGGCCATGGCTGGAGTGTGACCACACAGTGAAGATGGCTTGGGATCCTTTTGTTGAACACATTTAGAAGTTCATGTTGAAATCAGTGCATGTTGTTTTAACTGGAGATGTGTGTTTCAGGGGGGACCAG